GATTGCAACCCTCGGCGTTGCCCCCGCGCCTCGCTCAGCCAGTGAGCGGGAACCGGTCTGTATGCGGGATCCGAACCCTAGGGCGGGAGCGCCGCCACGCTTCCCAAGCAGCGCACTTATCCAGTGTGCCACCGGGCCGGCCCCTTCAGCACTTTTGATATCACTTCAGCTTAATCTTCCTTTAAAAAAAAAAAAAAAAAAGAATTAATGAAACTGTATAGAAATAAACTTAAAGATATGATATGCTTCTGAGTTCTTTTTTCTTTTTTTTTGAAAAAACGACTTACAAATGAGATTGATCGTAATATATGTAAATAAATTTATAAGATTTGGTCCAAGTTATTCAAAGTATAATTCTAAAATTCCAGATTTTTTTATTAAGCTAATGTGAATAGTCCTGAAGATTTTATTTTGAAGTTACAATTAAAAACTAGAAAACTAAACTAAAATACTGAAATGGGGGGGTGGAGGGAAAAAATCAAATTAGTTTATTTCATCAAAACAGTACAAACAGCCTATGCCAATGAGTAGACTATATTATTGAGCCCGGGGTGGACTTGACCAGCAGTACTCAGCCTGCCACGTGGTTACTCTAGGTGTGGTATGTTCACACCTACTGTGCACAGCATGGAATGCCACTCTCAAAGAACCTAGTCCAGGGGCAAGTCAGCATTTGACTTGTAAAGTCCACTTGATTTTTGAGGACTCATAGCTCAGGCCACAAATGAATACTAGACAATGAACAACAGAATGTTCACTGCACTACTATTTATAATTGAAAAAAAAAAGGGTAACTTAAAATTAAGCTGATAACACCCATGTCCAGAAAATGTCTTTCAAGGTGGTACAGGATCATTTAACACTATCAGGGTCCATCATTCTTCCTGGCAAGTTAACTTTACCCAAGATCAGGTAAATCATTCAGAAAACCCAACCACAAAACAATTCAGTGGATTTCCAGCCTGTGTTTCCTGCTGTGACCCACGAGGCCTCTCTTAGGTCCCTGACCTGGAGGGACCTTTGCAGGAGACCTGACCAGAAGGAGGGGCAGGAAGGAAGAAGATGGGAATAGGGGACAGTCTAAAAGAAATTTCAGAAATAATAAGACTTTTGCTTTCTGGCACATGTGTATACATTCAAAGACCAGTGCCAAGAATATTAAAATCTTAAAATAACATTTAAGGAATAAATGTACACAGTTACTAGATTATAATAACTGTAAGGCCTGCGAGAGGGGAACTGGGTGTTGGGGGATAGGACAGGAGAAAGAATCTCACTGCTCCACTTTTTTATTTTGGAATCATTCTAATGTTTTACATAAAAATTAAATTGGCAAGAGTTATTGATACCTGGATAATGACTGCACTACTGAAATAATGGAAATTTAAACTGGTAAACTGTTCACTGTTTTTATAGATGAGTTTAGCTTCACATCAGCCATTGGCATAAAAGTCCTCCTTCATTACAATAGCTCAAGGAAAAAAAGGTACCAAATACTCTCTAGACAAAGATGCCTCACAAGCTACAATGGCACCACGCTCAGCTGAGGCTCAGTCAAGTGGAACCATCAATCAACTGGAAAATATTTAGCACTTTACTTTTAGGAGAAAGCAGAAAATTACAAGGAAATAAGTATATACTGGAACTATTTAACTAAATCAAAAATAAAGGAACAATACTAAACCTCTTAAAAATAAATTTGGGATGTTCTAGGATCACTGAAACTTCCTACATCTGAACTACTGTTCCATAAAATAAGACTGAGATCCAGCGGGTATTACAAAGCCCATACATCGAGAAAGGGTAATATGCTAACCTAATCTTGATTTTTAAAAAACCTTTAGGTTTTTTTCCTTACCTCTTATTTTAATTGAATGTCACATCAGGGTGGTTAATCTGCCCTGGCTTTGACACTGAAAGTCCCACATCCTGGAAAACCCCTCGCCATCAGGCAATCTGGAGTGGTTGGTGACCCACTCACCTTCCTCCCTTATCTACCTCTTCTTCAGCCACTGCCACCTTCCCAAATTGTAGGCTATTTTGGTGGCAACTGTAGGCAACTGTGGCAATTATGCAGTTTTGGTGTTACTTGCATGGGACAAACTGGGAACTTTCGGGCATAAAAAATACATACAGTAGAAAGTTATCTACTTTTCTAAATCACTTAAGTTTGATTGTAGCAAATATTAGTTAAAACGTTTCAACCAAATACTAAAATTAATAATCAATATTTGGCCTTTAGAATTGTAAATATATCACAGACGTTGTATAGCAAGCAAAAGTATTCCATTAAAAAACGTCCAGACCCAGCATCCCAGGAAGTAGCAGGACTGTGTGCTCCCCTTCTCCGGTCCGCTGATAGTGCAGGTGGACGCCATTCACAGCCACTTTGGCAGAGGTTACTGAGGTGCTAGAAGAAAAAAAAAACCCACCCCCAAAGGAAAATTATTTAGCAGTACAAATTTAATATGACAAAACTACCTTTTTATATGCATGAGTCAGCACCAGTACTCCGCTCATGCTTCTTGGAATATTTTGACCTGAGGCTCACTTTTCCAATTCTCAACAATGACATGATCTCATATCTTCCTTACTAGATTGCAGATCTGAACTGTGTCTTCACATGTGGAAATGCTACAGCACCCAGCTGGGGCCCAGCCATCAGAAGCACTGGGCGGCTTGCTGAAATCAATGGCAATCTAGGCCCATGAACACGCATCAAGTGAGCTGGAAGCCCGTGGTGCCCACATGCAGGCTGGTGCAGGAGCTCACAGAGTGAAACATGACGGCGGGCGTCAGCACAGACCTGGGAGCCCTTTGTCTGCATCTCAGCAGGCTTAGAGGAGCTACCTAGGCCTTCAGCTGCCTTGGTGGCATTCCCAGGATGAGGTTGGTCCCAGGGCTCCAGAGGGAAGATCTTGATCTCAAAGCCAACCTTTAGGTGTAGGGCTTCTTGTGTTGTCTGGCCAGCTGCAGGAGGGCTATAGTCAGGAATGCCCATCTGCACTGATATGGCCCTACCAGGTTTTAAGATGTTGAAATATTTTTGCGTTGACTGTTAATTAGCCATGTCCATAAGCCCCCATCCCAAGAGCCCTCCCTCCTGTCACTGACCCCTTGACCCAAGATTTCCCATGATCCAGCACCTGACTGGATGGTGCCTGACACAGGACAAGGCCTTGGGACAGGGCTACTGCAGTGTCTGTTCTGCCTGGATGATATGTGTGCTGATTAGCCTCTCCTCAGCTGCTCTCCCAGAAGCTCCAGAACAGCTTGTCCAGGGACATCCACCAACAGAGCACAGACAAGGCCCCGGCACCAGCCTCCAACAGCCTCCCCACCAATTTACCAGGCAGACGACTGAATGATGCACAGAAAGGACACTGGCTTGCCAGGACAGATGCTAGTGGAGTATTAAATTTAAATCAGCCACTGCCTCCTTTTTCTTTTACATATTCCCTACCCTTACCTCTGCCCTTAGAATGATTATTGAAACAGTGCACTTTCGAAAAACCAAGGTCCTATTTCCTCTCTTGGTTTCATCTTATTTGCCAACTTCAGGTAAGAAAGAATGCAGGAACAAGTATGTTGAATACAGGTACATCTAAACTTAACACAGAATTTCTGGAAAAAATACAAGACAGAATTGGGTAGAAATGAGGCCTGATATAACTATAACCTCAACATCTACAGAAATATTATTAGAGGAGCAATAAAAAAACTACTCAGCAATGACAGTATAATGCTGACACTGTCAACGTACTTACTAACACTCTGTTCCTCTGATATTTTTATTAAGATAGCTTTAGATCCTTAGGCTCAAGACAGAAGCAAACAAATGTACTCTACTGGCCAAGACTCATTTCAGTTCACATTTGTTAACTGGTGCACCTCCTCTGATCACAATCCAGTAGGAGGAAAGATAAAGACAGAGGATTCATTCTGCAAACCCCAGGGACAGGTAAGTTGTGACTGAGGAAAAGAAGAGCTTGAAGCACGTGGATGGAATAAAAGCTCTAATTAATATTTCCTATGTTCACTACATGAAATGTGGCAACTCTCTAGATTGAGATGACTAGCTTTAACAGGCTCATGTTACTGCTAACGTGCACTATACCATCATTTCCCTTAATATTTCCTATGTTCACTACATGAAATGTGGCAACTCTCTAGATTGAGATGACTAGCTTTTACAGGCTCATGTTACTGCTAACGTGCACTATACCATCATTTCCCCTTACTACTCCTTCAGCCCTGGAGATTTGTTGGGGGCTCCCTTCCCTGAAGTGCCAAGGACATGCTTGTAAGTCATTTTGCAATGGAAGGACATTACATCTCATGAGAGTCTCTACGCCCACCCTTCTCGATGTCCAAAGCCAGTTTCAGGACTGGGTGCTGCTGATTTGTGCTCTCTGCATCTCTCCAGGGCCTGGGAGCCCATCCTGGGGCTGGCTCACACCAGCTTCTTTCCTTCAGCTTCAAAGATCATTCTCAAGTCTCTTCTGCAAAAAACCCCTAAGTTCCCTCTGTACTTTGCTGTATCGATGTTGTGATTTCCCATTCCAAATTTCTTTTTTCTAGTTATCACCACCCCATATTCTTTTGATTGCCTAAAAAGAATACAGAAACGAAACCAGGTAGTCTAGAGTTCGGCACACTAGGATCTCAATGTCGGGCAAGAATTCACAGAGGCAGAAGGCTTGGAAGGTGGTTTTAGAGGAGAGACTGAGAGAGAGCGTACCAGGTTTGGGAGAGGTATCTTGGAAGAGAGAAAAAAGCAGCATTTCAGATGAACTTTCAAAGATGGATAAAATTCTGAAAAAAAGAATGTGGTGGGGAGGGATTTCTGCCAGAAGAAATGCATGAATCAATGGTCTGGGAGCAGGGGCATCCCTGGGGACAAGACAGTGCTAGCTAGCCCCGCAGGAGTGTGAAGGCAAAGAGCAAGCTAAGGGCCGAAGCAAAGACACATCCCTGGTGCTTTGTCATCAACACCCTGTCTGTCCTGTCACCAGGGGTCCCTGCCGTTATCACATCAACCCCTGGGGACAAGACAGTGCTAGCTAGCCCCGCAGGAGTGTGAAGGCAAAGAGCAAGCTAAGGTCGGGGGCCGAAGCAAAGACACATCCCTGGTGCTTTGTCATCAACACCCTGTCTGTCCTGTCACCAGGGGTCCCTGCCGTTATCACATCAACCCCCCCTGGGTTAATGGAAGCCGGCTGCCAAAAGCCTTCCAGGAATCTCCAAGTTGGGGAGAAAGGACAGAAGACTGTTTATGAACAAATCAACTTCAAAAATAAGAAAAAAGGTATATTTTTAAAGATAACAGAGTTATTGAATGCTGATTTATTTTCAGAGAAACACAAGATAACTGAAATAAGTTCCAGAAGGAGAGAACATACCTTGAACTACAAAGTGGAGTGTGGAGTAAAGGGGGAGGGAGAGGGAGGTTAGAGATAATTGGGTGGGGGATACAGGGTACAAACGCAATTTGTGGTAATGGGTATGCTGCCAGTACGAATCTAGCCCTCACACCATGGGCACGAGGGGTGACAATCAGCTTTGTATCTCAGAATATTCATAACCAATAAAAAAAAAAGAAAGAAGTACGACGCTTCTGCTCCAGCTTATCAAGGAGCCTTTAGAACAAATTTATTGTATGTTCTCGAATGGCTGGAAGAGAGGAGTGCAAATGAAAATGAATTTTCATGATGATGAATATGCTAATTACCCTGATTGATCATCACACATTGTATACGTATTGAAATATAACTCTGTGCCCCATAAATATGTACAATGGATACATGTCAATTAAAAAATAAACTATTTTTTTCAAAAAGAGGCCTCTCAGAGCAGTAGTCAGGCCTCAGGTCAGCACTGTTACATGTATGCCGTAAGAAAATCAGATGCAAGGACCAGACCTTCAATGGCCCTAACATGTGCTTATTACTTTAACCACATTCAAGATACCTAATTTCCCAAACTCTCAGGTAGGAAAAAAGATAGAAAACTTCAGAAAATGTAAAGAACAAAACTGAATCCCTTTCCCTTAGGCTGCCAATTTGTCTTTTCCACCACTTTCTCCCTTCCTAATAGTCCCTTCTCTAACCCAGGTGTTCTGAAACAGATGTGTTCATTAGATCACCTGTGGAGATTTAAAAACATACACGCTCAGGACAGTCCTGGGAGACTGTAATTCAGTAACTCTGGGGTAGAGCCCTGGTATCTGGTTTCAAAAACACCAAAACTCTACCCTCCCATTCATTCATTCATGTATTTCCTGAAAACCTACTTTGTGCCGAGCATTAAATGTATGCCCTCCTGTAGCTTGGAGGCTGGCAGAAAGATGGATAAATAACCTGCTACCAGCAGTTACTAGGCAGTGTACAAAGTATTATGAAAGAGAAGCTGGGGACAGAGCAAGCCCTGGGACTCAGGTGGAAGTGACCAAGCTCACCACATCTTCACCTGCCCTTCCCATCAGGCTCTTAACATGAGCATTTCCTGTCCTGCCACCTTAGAGGGGTTCAAACTTAGATTTGACTCATCTGGCAAACATTCAAATTTCTGATACCCAGTCTGCACTAAATCAAAACCTCTGGGGTGGGATCCAGGCATCTGTACTTTTTAAATTCTTTAGGAGATTCTGATAGGTAACCAAGGCTGGCAATAATTGTATTGAGTTAATTTCTCAGAGGAAAAAAATCCTGTCTCCCTTTTAAAGCATGCCTTCCTACCTCGCAATTTTGTGAAAGGGAAGGAAGAAACAATATAATGGTATAGAGAGGGTCGAGCTGCTCCCCTCAAAGAGGGAGAGTTTACTGTGGGGGAGGCAAGGATAATAACAACTTGGGGCAAATAAGCAAAATCTAACATTTGTTACCGCATGTCACGCACTCTACTGAGAGCTTTACTTATTCTCATTCATTTCACTCTGAGGTGTATATTATACTTAACCTACTTTTACCATTGAGGAATTTGAAGATTAGAGGATCATGTAATTTGCCCCAGTCACACTGCTAGTAATCTTCAAAGCCAAGATGAGTATCAGAGCGTCTGACCCCGGAGCCTCAGCTCGTCAGCACTTTGCTTAGAGATAAAATGGGGGCTACTTGGCCAACCTGTGGCTCACTTGGGAGAGCATGGTGCTGATGACACCAAGTCAAGGATTAAGATCCCCTTAACCAGTCATCTTTTAAAAAAAAGCATGGGGGCTACTTAACAGGACACATCCTCACTTTGAAAATCCTAATATAGTCCTACATGTTCAGCTAGTTCTTTTGTGCATTTTTTCCAAAGTGACTATTAGCTCAATAAAGTATTAGCTAACACCAGGGCTTGCATTTACATGACTTTTGCTGACTTATTTTTACATCTTTTATACACTTATTTAGATATTCATTCTTTGTATCATTACTAATTGTACCTACTAATTACTTAATATTTATTATTATGTCCCAAGCCTTTTACATTCATTGCTCCAGATCTTCACAAAAACTCTGCAAAGAACAAGGCTCAGAGAGGTTAAGTAACTTGCCCATGTTCACACAGTTAGGAAGTGACAGTATGGCCATCTGAACTCCAGAGGCCATGCTTTCTCTCTAACCTCAGGGGTGAACAGAGTCCCCAACAGAAAACTGGGGCCACACTCTGACTGCCAGAGAGAGTGTGGTGTCAGGCATTAGGGGAAGCATGGTCTCTGATTTTCTGTCTGGGTATCCCAAGGTTGAATTTGGAAAATATTTTTCTTCAGGAAGATTGTTAGGTTCTGTAAATTATTAATATTGTAACTGTACATAACATACAATTTTACATAGAAAAGGCTTTTTTGACCTGACCCAGAAACAAACCACCTTATAGATTATGAAATTAGGGTCAAAGTTCCAAACAACAGACTTAAAAACAAGTTTTTGGAACACGATGCAATTGTAGGTAGTGTTCTGCAGCAAAGGTTTTACATGAGTGCTTTTACCTACTCATGTTGGGCTGTTTCAGGATTAA